GACCTCACATGACTCCTGTACGGCAAGGTGGCCAGAGCTGGACAGACCTTGCAGGGACCCCAGAGAGATTCTGGGAGCTTCAAGGCAGTTTTCAAAGGAGCTTATGTTGGGCCTAATGTGAATGTAAACCAAGTTTACAAAACCAGATCCTCGGGACTCCTGGCAATATGATCATTTTCAGGCCGACAAGCCTTGCCTCTAAGAGTGTGGGAAGCAGAAGATGAATCACAGGCCACAGTCCGTAGGCTGACCTCAACGTGCACGTCCCCTGAGACGGGGCAAGAAACGAAGACAGGAAGCACTTGACTGAATTGGTTTTCTCATTTTTCATAAGAAACATTCAACTTAATAAAAAATAGCCACACTTTATTGACAATAATAGCTACCTTTTCTTTATTTCCTTACCATGTGCCAGATAACTATTTTATCTGTTTCTCCTGGTAACTCTGCAACGCAAGAACAATCACCTTCATTTCGGAGGAAAATGAGGCTCAGGAAGGTCAATTAGCCCAAGGTTGCACAGTTAGTAAGTGTTTTAGTTGAGATTCTAACCTGGGTCTGTTTGATTCTGAAATTCACGATTTTTCTACCATGGCTTTTTTCACATTACCACCAACCGCAAAAGTCCCCAGAACCAACTGCCTAAACACACACACACACACACACACACACACACACACACACACACAGACACACACACACACACACTTTTTAAACTTAAAAAGATAAAAAGAGCAGGACAGCAAGATCTCGAGTGCTGCCATGTACCCATCTCTCTGTATATGCAGTGATCCTTAAAATCCAGGTGCCAAATCACAGGTGCTGAGAATAAGCAAGTTTCTAAGAAGACACATAGTCCATTCTTCTGTCATTTAATAATAAGGTGACAAGTCCAGGGTCTCAGGGCTGAGCAGGGATTTGGCCCCAGCTGTGCTGGCCCCTGGGCAGTGTCCCTCCCACTGTACCACAACTTTGCTTCCCAGGGTCGTGGCCGGTGATGATGAACTCAGTTCTGGGTGCTGGGAATACAGACTTGAAAAGACCATCCCTGGTCCTAAAAGGATCCTAGAAGCTGGAAGATGTGTTGAGATAGTCCACAGATAACTGAAGTGTGTGGCAGAAGGTGGGACGTGGCACAGGAGGGCACAGTTCTATGGGATGAATCAAATCCAGCTGGGGCAATGGGGAAGACACCATGGGGAGAAGTGGGGAGGAAATGATGCCATGCTCTGGGTGTCTTTGCAGGAAGGTACCTCGCACCAGTCATTCTGTACCAGTAACCCCATGGGGCAGGCAAAGTACCCGTTTTACAGACAAGATGGAGAGATAAGAGGTGACCTACCCACGGGGTTAATGTAGATTCATGTGAATTGCTTTTTTTAAAAAAATCTCTAAAGCCTATTACAACAAACTTCAAATGCTGTTCTCTGGAGCCCTGGTGTGTTGCGAGGTGAGGAGTAGGCCAGGTAGGTGGGGCTCAAGTATCCATCCCAAGCTCAACACTAGTGGCTCTGCTTTCTATACAAATTTGTAGATTCGGGTTCTACATGTGAATTCATTGGGGAAAAAAGCTCTGTTGCTAACAAAATCAAGTTTGAAGCCCTGTTCTATGCAAGATGTGCCACCTGGCAGGTAAATGAGTCAGGCCTTGAAGTTTAGGCAGGGCAGGGAGGGCATGTTGTCCATATAGAGAGGCAGTGAGGGACAGCAACTGCAAGCAGGCTAAGCATGCACTTCCCTCATCTTGGAGAGATGCTGCCTGTGTTGGAAATCAGGCTCCTATCCTTGAAACCTTGGGCGAGGCATTCCTAAGCCTTAGCTTCCTCAAGTTCAAAATGTCCCGGGATCATATTGGTTCTATTCTGTAGGGCCGTTGAGAAGATTACTTGCTCAGAGATGTGGATAGCACTTAGCACAGTGCCTGGCACTTAGGACAGTGGTACTCTTAGTAACTTGTTAAAAATAGTATGGCTAGTTATAAGAGGTAACACAGAAAAAAAAAAAAAAAAGGAATATCATGCTACTATAGGAGGAATTCTTAGAAAAACTAAGAAATTCTGACTGTCCTCAAAGAGTTGCTATGGTTCTGAGCTCTGCCTCGCATTCTCCTGGCCTTGATAAATATGGGCTGTGCATCAAGGAGACTCACATCTGAAAGATGAGGTGTCCTCAATGCTGCTTGTCAGCTGGTTTAGCAAGAAGCTTAATGGAGACTGGGCTTCAGGTGATGAGATCAGTAACCCAAACCTCCAAACTAATTTACTGCCATCGCTCAGAGCAGATGCCACAAAACCATTGGCTCTCCCCCTAAGTTTGATTTGGCTCTTGACCCCAAAGGCCTAGGACAGAGGAAGGCATGTGTATCAGTCAAGCCAAGCCCTAGGGGCCTCCTTCCCTGGTTAGAGGGGCCTGGCCTTGGGCAGAATTCTGCGGGGCACAGTGTGGTCTCAAGTCATCTCAGGTTCCTTCCTCTGAAGACTCTGTCGGTGAATTAAGTTCCCAGTGAAAGTTTTAATGGCTTATAGGATTTTCGTCTGCCTTACTCGCTGCTGTATCGAAGTGCCCAGAATGCCAGCTCATCCCTGTGAATGAATGCATGATGATCCCATTCAGGGTGATCTAGCCTCTGCATCTTCATGAGACACACAGAAGCAACTGGCCACGGAGCTCACCGACCAATGAGCTGTTTGGGGTTTCCTCTCCACTGCTCTGCTCCCGATTCCCCCACCTGTAACCTCAGCTAGTAGCACCTGGCCTTCGACAGTTTCCCTTTGGAAAGGTTTCACCTTTTCTCTCTTCCCAAGGAAAGGAAGGTCATTTGCTACACAGCACTGAACAAGAAGGTCAGCTCGTGCAAAGCACACGACTTACTCTTCTATTGCTCACTCTTCCAGACACAAAAATGTTAGAGCTACAAGTGCCCATGGAAGTCACTCCTTATGGAAGAGACAAGAAAACCAAAGTCTCGAGGCATTAAGCAAGTAGCCCAAGGTCACAGAGATGGCTGCAGGGAGGGGCAGGAGACTTAGCCTCTAAATAGAGCTCTTTGTAGAACACTTTTAGGGGCCTCTCTCTGCCTCTGCAGGTCAGAAAGTCTTAGAAAGTACCCCTAAAACCTGGGTTTTCTTTCTACATATTGTAAACATAAAATATACCTACAATATGTACATAGATACAATTTTTATATATGTATGTAGATATGTACATATCTACATATTCATAAATAATATTAGGATATATAAAAACCACAGCCGTCCTTTGGTATTTATGGTGGTTGGCCCCTGGGTGCCCTGCAGCCAAAGTCCACAGGTCCTCAAGTCCCTCATCTGAAATGGCGCAGAACAATGCATACAGTCAGCCATCCATGTCTGCGGAATCCCAACCGTGGACTGAAATATGTGTTTTTGACCTGTGGTTGGTTGACTATGTGGTTGGTTGAGTTTACAGATTTGAAACCTGTGGATACGGAGAGCTGACTGTATAGTTATTGGGAAAAAACCCCTTATAAGTAGATGCACACAGTTCAAATACGTGTTGTTCGAGGGTCAACTGAATTTTACAGACCCAGATATATTTGCTGAAGAGCTTACATAAGCTCGACTTTCTTTATTTTACATCTATTATTACAGAATAGTGATAACTGAAAGGGTGGGAAAAAATTAGAAATTCTGAGTGTGAGAAAGGGGTAAAATGTAGTTTGTAAAAGCATACTCAATATTAAAATTGCTTCGATTTTTTAAGGCACAACATTTAATATCCTTTGAAATTTAACAGTAAAGGAATGCATTTAGATTTTATGTTCATCAAAAGGAAGTTTAGCTTAAATGAAAAGATTGGGAAATATTGTTCTGGAACTCACAGCATATCCCACAGCTTTGGAAATCGTCTGGTCCAATGCCCCTTTAAGGATAAGGAAACTTCTACCCAGAGAGGTTAAGTAACTTCCTATCTCAGGTGAGTAGCTATTTATTCGTTCCTGAGGGGAGGGGACAGTGTGGATTTTGTTATGTGTTCATGGCACCTGAGTTGAAGGGGAGTCCAGGGTTTGCTGTTGACCAGCTGAAAGGAATTTATTAGACCAAGGATATAAAAATACAGAGGGACAGCGAGGTCCCAAACACACCTGGATTTTTTTTTTAGCAAGGAGGATTCTTGGAAAAGGAAAAGCTGAACCTGAGGCTTTATATACAACGCATTTCCTCGGGGTAGCACCCCAAAGGCCTCCACATGGGGCTACCCTTGGTCCCGCCCCTCCTTCGTGTGGGTCCCAGGAGGCTCTGTATGGTCCTCTCTTTCAGGAGAACAAAACGTCAGGCTGCAGGAGCGATTCCTCTCACCACCTCTCTCCTTTCCCTCTTTGTCACCTCAGCGGCCACTGAAAGGTTGGGCGGATGGTTTCAGTCCAGTCCCATCTACTTAAACAAGTTGTAGGTTTTCTCTCATTTGTTCTGACAGGGCTGAGCATTTCAGCAGAAAAACTACGGCTCCTAAAATAGTTACCCTGTGAACAGAGGCAGAGGCCCAGGAAGGATTTGCCCGCAGCCTTGGGCTAAGACAGACACGGGGCCAGACCCCGGACAGGAGCCAAAGGGGCCGTGATGCTCCGCGAGCGGCGGCCGCCGGGCGCAGGAGTCCACTTACCGCAGTGCGACTGGAAAACCTGTGGCTTGACGACCTGATTACAGGCACTGCACACTACGAGATAGAAGTCGTCATGTGCTGGATAATGGCCAAATAAGTGCATATCTGTGGGGGAAATGAAAACAGGTTTTTTTTGAAAAAGCAATTAAGTCTCAGAAGGTGTATAGCTTCCTCTTGAAATTTCCTCAAGGACAGTTTTTCAAACAAGACCCGCAGAAAGGCAATAATCTCCACTAAAGGGAACGCGGTCTATCATCACGCTGCTCCCCAACTCTCAGAGAAGCAATTGCCTCAGAGAATCCCTCCTCACTTCACCCTCGTAAATGGACTCCTGCTACGGCTGGTTTAGTGGGCGGTGGGGGTGCCGCCTTGAGTTGCGTGCTGAGGGAAACCGGCCTCTTCTGAGAGATGCAAGTGTTAGCTGGAACTCAATGAGGCACATATTATTTTAGGATGAGGGGGCTCCCCCAAGCCCCTCCTGACTTAAGCAGAGGTCTCTCAGGTGAGTGTGGGGGTGAGGGGGCCTGGGGGAAAGAAAGAGGAGTCTTCCTGGCTTCAGCAGTTACCTGTTTCCCCATCACCTGAGGGAGACCCCAAGGTGAAAGGAAGCCTCAAAACAAGTGACTTGTTTGCTGCCATCGTTACCCGTGTTCATCTGACTAGTATTTATCAAGTGCCCAGGCACCATACTAGATGCCAGGGATAACTGGCGAAAAAGAACAAGGGCTCTGCTCTATTGGAGCTTACAGTAGCAGAAGAAGGAAACATTAAATAATCACACAACTCATCATTTGGTTTTAATTGTGGTGCCTGCTGAGGAGACATGCAGGGTTCCATGAGAGCATGTGGACCTAACTTCATTTGAGGCATTGGAGAGACTTCCCCGAGGAGGGGCCATTTCAGCTGAGACTGCAGGAGAAGTGGGGGTTAGATCAACAAAGGGCCAAGGAATGGAGAGGAAAGTTCCAGGTCTGCCGAGGAAGGAGGTTCTGTGTGTTGGAGAAACCTCTTGGCTGGAAGCCAAGAACAGGGAGTGAGATCCGGAGATGTAAGCCTTGCAGACCAATGTAATAGTTTTAAACCTGATTTTCAGAACAATAGGAGCTTACTGAAGGTTTTTAAACAAAGAAATGATCGGCTCAGATCAGTTATGTGATCTAGGAGATATGAACATCTATGTCCACACAAAAACCCGTACATGCATGTTCATAGCAGCATTATTCATTATAGCCAAAAAGTGGAAACAACCCAGATATCCATCAACTGGTGAATGAATAAACAAAATCTGGCATACCCAGACAATGGAATAACTATTCAGCCACGAAAAGGAATGAAGTACTAATACTTGCTATAACATGGGTGACTCTTGAAAACATTATGCTAAGTGAAAGTAGCCAGACACAAAAGGCCACCTATTGTATTATTCCATTTATACGACATGTCCAGAATAGACAAAAACTAGGTTAGTGTTTGCGTTGGGCTAGGGGACTTAGAGGGAATTGGGGAGTGACTGCTAAAGGGTACAGGGTTTCTTTTGGGGATGACAGAAATGTTCTAAGATTGATGGTGGTGATGGTCGCACATGCTGTGAATATACTACAAACCACTAAATACGTATACTTTAAATGGGTGAACTATGAAATATGTAAATAAAAGTCAAAAAAAAGGAGAGAGATCAGTTCTGAGGAAACCGGTGGCCACATCTCCTTGTGCACTACTGGGTGCAGGCAGAGCCCTGGGGGGCACCTGGGCCTGTCTCTTCTTAGCCCATTGGCTCTACAGACACTTCAGCTCTGAGAGCAGGGTGCTCAAAACCACTGGGAGTGACGGAGGAATTAAGATCATGTATGCATAAAAATGTTTTCTGTCACAACTCCTCTGAACTTCTTATCCCCAAACCCCTAAGTCCTCATTTTATAGACTCGATCCATGTCTTTAATGAAAACCACCAAACACACAATGGCCTCGCTGCAGTGCTAGGTCATGATATGGATGGAGATGGCTCATTTATAACCAAACAAATGCTTTAATGGAGGCACACAGGGCTCTGTGTTCTGTACTCAGAGCAGCCCTGCTTCTTAGAGGGAGGCAGAATTGACACATGTGTCATACGCAGGAGCTGAGACATCCACTGCCCTGGAGGAGGTATGTGATTAGAAGGGTGACACGGCTCCCATTGCAGGGTCCTCCTCAGGTTTTAGGTGCGTGAGGACGCAGCTCACCCCTACCATGTGTGACGGGGCAGGGCTGGGGACTAGGGCCCACTGAGTTTCTAATTAGTCAGTGGCCCTGGGCCTGGCCTGTTATTTCCCCTCTCTAGGACTTGCCCCTATTTCAACTTTTGACTAAGACTGGTTACTAGAGGGGAGCATTCTTAGTCAGTGCCTGGTGGGCGGAGAGGCCTGTGGAAAGAGAGGCCGTGAGAGAACCCAGCTGTGACAAGAGTCCTGAAGGGTGAGGAGGCCCCGGCTGGACCCACCCAATCTGTCCAGGGCTCCAGTTCAGAGCTTCACAGCATGAGAGGATGTCTCGTGCTCCTTAACTGCCGATACCACTTCTGTTTTACTTTTTATTTTCAGGTAATTTCTATAATATACATTCTTTTTTTTTTTTTTTTTTTTTTTTTTTTTTTTTTTTTTTTTTTTTTTTTTTTTTTTTTTTTTTTAAATAAAAGGATCCACGTTATTTGAAGATACATTTGAAAAATACAGAAAAGCCAGAAAATTAAAAAAAAAAAAAAAATCACTGGCAACCTTTATCAACACTTTGCATCTCATTTAGATGCAGTCACATTTTATATCTAGGAACATGTGAAACCAGGAGTTGGAGAGGGCTAAGATACTTATTTATTCAACAAACATTTACGGAGCTGCCCTTACATCCTTTCTGAAATAGGTCAAGCTATAAAGGAATAAAAGAAATTCATTAGTTAAAATTAAACAAGCATTAACAAAAATTTCTTGAGCACCTACTCTGTGGTAGAAACTGTGCTGGAAGCTAACACCAGACACTGTAGGGTGTGGGGAATGTGTCTCTGTACCTTTGTTGTACTCCTCTGATGACCTTGGAGGCCTGCCAGGACTCCATTTGATATCCCATGGCTTCTGTATTCCTTCAGAAATCTGTAGAGCCTCCACCCCTCCCGCCCCAGTCACACACACACACACCTCTATGTCACGAGTTGAAGGTAAAGGTGAGGCTAGTCAGAGAACCACCTGGGGGTGTATTCTACTCCAGGCCCTTCACTCCACTGAGACTTTTCTTGATTTCCTTTAGGGTAGTTTCACCTTTCCACATACCTGCTCAGAGCATGTCTCCTATGGAAATCAAGAAGACCTGCTTGCTTGCTTGATTATTCCTCAGTGGGCCGACTTTAGAATCTCCTCTACAGGCTGCCCAGGTTCTGAGAGCCTGGCACATGGAGAGCAAGATAGCATATTTGGCTGCTTGGAAGACCACTGCTTCATGTGGCTAGGCAATCACAGTCAGCCCACACTTTGCTCAGGGATGAGGAGGAAGGACAGGGAGATTTGAAAACTAGTATATCCAGCATAATGCTAGGTATTCCATTAATTAATTCTCTCTCTCTCTCCATCACCCAAATAAAACATTCAGTGCACAGTTAAAAAATAAAAACTGGTGTGTTGAGGTGGGCTTGTACCAGCCAGTTGTGCATGTCTCTTCCTAACTCATTCCGTGATGTCATGGTGGTAGCTTGAAACCAGCCATCTAGGAGTATTTACACCATGGAAATGAGCAAACACTATAGATCAGGTCTTTTCTTTTGGAGAGCTGGTTGTTAAACATTTACCAGTGTACCACTGAATAAAAGTGAGAAAAAAGGGGAGAGTGAAACCACCTGTAATAACACCACCTAGGGATAAACCACTTCTGACATACTAATATACATCCTTCTAGACTGTTATATGATAACCTTATCTTAGTTAATCCTCATAATTAACCTACAAAGTTGGCATCATTTCCACTTTCTAAGCAAGGAAACTAAGGTAATTTGCTTGAGACTCCAGGGCAGCGATTTGTTACGTGGGATGAAATTCCAGGACGCTGACTCTAAAGCCAGCGTTTCCTCCTCACAATAGGCTGCTTCTTTCATAACAGAGCAGGAACCCATTTCACAGATGAAGGAACCAGTTTGGAAGGCTCGTCTGGATGAATAATGGCTGTGCCATGGCTCCCCGGAAGCCGCTGGCATGAGCACACGCCTGGGGTCAGGAGGGGTTTAGAGCGCAGTGTTCACTGCTGTGCAACCTGAGAAAAGGTGCCCAATCTTCCTGAGGGTCAGCTTCTTCATCTATAAAATGGGGTAACACCTCCTGCCTCATGGGGTTGCTGGAATGGCTCATAAAGGCTGCCTGGCCTTGTATTTTCTTCTACCAGACATTGGAGGGAGAGTGTGGACAAAGCTTTAATCAAGATCATCGCCCCTATTTTTAAAACCTAAGTAGTTCTCTCCAGTGGGAGAGGCCTGGCTCCAGGCAACACATTCTTTGACTCTCCCCGACGACCATTCCCAGCTGACTCCCTGGGAAGCCCGGGGGTCCTTCTGACATGCAGAATTTCCTGTGAGTGCATGTGCAAATTCATGCACATGTGTGGACAGATGAGCACTGAGAGCCATTGGCAGGGTTCTCTCTCTAGGCTGTAGTTGGATTCCAAGAAAACATACACAAAAATGAGACTTCGCACAGTTTCAAAAAGTGTTCAACCATCTCCCAAACAAAGCCTAACCTGTTTCGCCCCATTTTGTTTCTGCAAATGGATCAACTATAGATCAGATATGGGATAGCACCAACATGGCATTATCACAGAGGTGACCTTAGTCATCTTCCTGGCCTGATCATAGGTGCGGAGGGAGCAAACTCCATTAGCTCCATTTTGCAGATGAAGGAAACAGAGGTACACTTGCTTCTAGGTCAGCAGTTTTTGGGCTTTTGACCCCAAACTACTACACACACATATATACTTATCTATCTAGCCATCCGCCCATCCTTCTATCCATCCGCCAATCCACCCATCTGTCTATCCAACTATCTATCACCTATCACTCAAACACGTATGTTACACTCTGATATGTTTTGTTCTAT